CATTAGATCTTCAGACCTTATTACCTTATAACTGAGAGTTTGTACCTTTTTTATCAACCTCTCCCTATTTTCCCTACCCCCAGCTCCTGACAACCACCACTTTCTTCTCTGTTTTTATGAGTTTGACTTTTTTTAGATCCACAAATAATTGATACCATGCAGTATTTGTCTTTCTCTGTCTGGTCTATTTCACTTACCATAATGCTTTCCAGGTTCATCCATGTTATTGCAAAAGACAGGATTTCCTTCTTTTTTCTTTTGGTTAAACACCCAGAAGTGGGATCGCTGGATCATATGGTATTTTTATTTTTAATTTTTCGAGGAATTTCCAACAGTTTTCCTTAATGGCTGTGCCAGTTTGCATTCCCACCACCAGTGCACAGGAATTCCCTTTTCTCCACATTCTCGCCCACATTTGTTATCCCTTGTCTCTTGATAATGAGACATCCTAACAGGTGTGAGGTGAAGAGAGTCTTTAAAGTGCAGCAGAGAAATCATAAGAAGCCCTTGGGAGATCAGTTGATCTAACCACCTCACTTTACAGACAAGAAAATTAAGGTCACAGAAGTTAAACGATTTGCCCAAGGTCAGAAAACCAGAGAGCGGCGGGTTTGTACAGACTGTAGGGCAGTGGGGAGCTCCTGGGCTCCCAGCAGAGTGATGGCATGAGGAAAGGGTCTTCAGGAAAGCAGATCTGGGGTTGAGAAGAATCAGGGATGACAGATTCAAAGGTCAGGGAGACCCAGAAACCACTCAGGTTGGGGGCTATGGGAACAGAGGATAACACGATGGAATGACTTGTGACTAGGCAGGTCAGGAGGACGGAGGCTGAGAAAGAAGAACATGATGTCCACATTTCTGAGTTTGGGCAGCTGTTCAAATGGGGGTTCTGCTTCCGGGAAAGCTGGGAGAAGAAAGAATTAAAAAGGTCTCAGGCTCTGGGACTGGGCAGCTGGTTCAACAGTGAGGTCATTCCCAGGAAATGAGACAGGAGCAGCTTTCAGCATGCTGGGATCCAGAAGCCATAAGGACAACCAGAAGGAGAGATCCTGCAGCCGGTGAAGGCTGCCCTGGATTTCAGACCCAGTGGAACCCCGACCTCCACCTTGCTGCAAGCATTAATGTCTCTGGCTCCAGAGTTTGCCTCTTGCTCTTCTCTCCCTTGTTCTCAAGTCTTCTGGCTTCATATTTCCCAATATCTGCCCCAAGACCTGATCCTTTTTCATTACCTGTGGGCATTTTTTCCTCTGAAATGTTGACCTTGAGCATCACCATTAGGTGCTTGGCTCCTCATGTATAGGCATGTCAGTGACACTGACATTTCTGAGACCAGGACACTCTCCACACACCTTCCTTCCCTGCCTCCCCTCATGCTACAATGACCTCTGTGGGGAGGTCTCCCAGACCAGTCCCCTGAACTCCAGCATTCTACTTCTGATTGCCTGGCAAACCCCTGTTCCTAGCTATCTCAACAGGAGCTTCAGTTCAGTCTGATCTGAAGTGGCACGTCTTTTTTCTTCCCCCATGGTTTTCTAATAGCCTCTCCCCATTTATGTCATCCAGAACTCTGGAGCCATTCATTCTTCATCTGCCCAACAACAAAGTCACGGAAGCCTGTTACTTCATACATCTACCCATATCTCCATTCCTGCTGCTGCTGTGGTTCAGGCCCTCTGCAGTTCTCTCTTAGACTGCTCCAGACAGCCTCTGTCCCTTCTGATCTCTCCTCCTTGCTGCAGAAAGAACTGCCTTTCTAAAATGTCTTGCTGAGGCGGCTCTCCATTGTTTAAGGATGAAATCTCCTTAGTACGACATACCCACTCCTTCAGGATCTGACCCCCCCACTAATTTTTTGCCCTTCTATCTTTTGTCTCCCTGCTCAACTGCCTGCAGCTCCATGACTACATCCAGCATCCAGCATCCAGCTCATTCTTGCCTCTGTTTTACTCACTTTGTCTCTTCCTGGAAGGCACAGTCCCTCTAGTCTTCCTGGAAAACTAATACTCATCTCTTCAATGGCTTCTCCTTTGGGAAGTACCTCCCCACCCTGACCTGTCCAGCCAGAGTTAACTGCTTCCCCTCTGTTGTTACAGGGCTCCAACAGATAACTTCCGACATGGCACTTATTGCAGTGTTAAAGTTATTGGCTCACTTGTCTGTACTGTTTTGTTTTCATAGTGTCAGGGTCTAACACAATGTCTATAGGTCATGGGCTTAATAAATGTTGATCCAAGTAAGAGAATGAATGAAGACATGAACAGAGAATTTCAACAATGCTATGCCACCATGCCCACCCCTCATTCTGAAGGGTCACCGCTTCCAAAACTCAGGAGCTAGTAGACTAGCTGCAGGTTTGTGTGTGTTGGGGGGGGGGTGGTAATAGATTCAGCTAAGCTGGATAATAAGCAGAATAACAATAGTGTTTAGAACCAAAAAGGAACCTAGAGAGATTCCTTAGTCCACTTTCTCATTTGAGGGACATGACTGGATAATGAGAAAGCCATTGAAGATAGACCTTACTTAGACTTAGTCTTTCTCATACAAACTTTCTGTGTGCTGCAAAAAAGTGAGCCAATTCTTTTATTGTAAAAGTATTTTTTTCTGATTAAAAAATAAGTGTTGATTATAGAATATTATAAGTTGATTGTCTAGGATCATTGTAGAACATATAGAATAGAGAGAAAAACAAAGAAAAGAAAGTAGAAACCATGTGTGGACGCTCCACAAGAGACAATTTGCTCTTTCAATTTGGTTTTTTGGATTGCAAGGGACAGAAATCTCCTCAGGGGGGCTCAAGCCAAGGGATGTTGTGGTGGAAAGCCACGTGGAATCACAGGGATTCTCGTGGGAATCTCAGAGCAGGCTGCTGTCTCTGCATGGGACCTTGATGGTGCTAGAGTGGGGAGTAGCTTTGGATTCAGAGGATATCTGGGGGCCAAGTAGCAGTAGCTCAGAGTCTCTCCTGTGGAGCCCCACTGTTCACGTAAGTCAGCTTACTCCGTATGTCTGCTTCCTTCCATCCTGCCACAATTTCCTGAACACTTTGCAAGAGCCCAGTTTAAACACTGAGAGAAAGAGACTTGTACTGACCCGGCTTATCTCTTTAATAGTCCTCAGCTTGATGGACATCTTTGATACCTTGCCCAATCAGTCATGGGCAAGAGGGTCAAGGGCACTAGATAGGAGGAGGCAGGGTGAGACTTAATAACAATAATAACAGCAATAGTAATAATAGCTGGTAGGCACGGAGAACATACTATATGTCTTGCACTACTCTAAATACTTGACATACATTCTCACATTTTCTTTTTTTTTTTTAAAGATTTAATTATTTATTTGACAGAGAGATAGCACAAGTAGGCAGAGCGGCAGGCAGAGGGAGAAGGAGAAGCAGGCTTCCCGCGGAGCAGGGAGCCCGACGCGGGGCTCGATCCCAGGACCCCGGGATCACGACCTGAGCCGAAGGCAGACACCTAACGACTGAGCCACCCAGGCGCCCCCATTCTCACATTTTCTTTTCACCCTGTGGGTTAGGTACTATGATTATGATCATTTCACAGTTGGGGAAATTAAGCTTTATAAGCCATGTAGCCATATCTCTATACTCTACCCCCCTAAAAGTGGGGGTGGGGGGGGTTGTGCATCTGCAGTGCTTCCATTTCCTACCCCCCTCTCTCCTCTTTGTCCCCTTCCTGCAGAGGTCCAGTGCCTTCACATTAGTTGTCCAAAGTACTTCATTTAAATGCCCAAACTCCCATGTCATCCCACTCCTCCTCTCCACTACTCATCCAAATCCTACTCTGCTCAGTTCACCTCTGACTGTCTTCCCCTCCCCTCCTCTTACCCCAGAAAAGCCTGGTTTGGCTGTTTGTTTGTTGGGGAAGGCCTGTCATTATCAGGGGGCTTTTACTCCAGGATAGAATCTGTGTTCTTTTGGTCACCTGGAATAAAATTTCAAGGCACCAAGAGTAGGAGACTCTTCAAAGTTTTTCACAGGCTCTGTAGACTCTGTTTCTACATCAGGCATCCAAGCAATATGCAGCCTGCTCCAAAGGGGGCACTCTTTATCACTCAACAATTCTGAACCTCCAGGAGGACCCACAGTCAGCCCTGTGGCTTACAGCTGAACCTCCGGGTGGGATAACTGGTCTACCTTTTTGTTCTTTTCCCCAGAACCCAAATTATGGGACCAATAAAATGAAATACGATTACAAACTTCTTTTGCCTTACTTGGCAACCAAAGAGATGAGTTTCTTCCAAATCCTGTGTTCCAAAAAGACCCAGTGAACAAGAACTTTAAACAAAGGGAGATTAAGTAAGGGACTAACAAGTGTTACTCTCTCTGAATACAAATACAAAAGGGCACAGTACTTATGTAAAAAAAATCTAGGATCTATTTTTGCCTCTGTTTCCTTAAGATGGAAATACTTACATGGAAAAAGCAGCAATCTCAGGCACCTTTGGGGATTTTCTTGAGCAGCCCCCATAACACTCGTGTAAAATTAATAGTAATTAGGATTATTGCTTAAACAACTTGTCATTTATATCTAATTACCATGCACTACAATAAAAATTATCATGACAGATTCACTTTGTTGTAGGCTTTATTTAATTACAATCCTTAACTTCTGTGGATTTTGTCTTAATAGTTTACTGCTTGTTATATTGTCTATTCAGAACTGAAAATATTTAAGAAACTAGTAGTTCTGGGCTTAGATAGGTCTTTTTTCTTTTCTTTTTTTATTCTTTTTTCCTTAAAGCAGACTGGGAAGGGCTCCGCTTGATGTCTTCCATCTTGGTCAGTTAAGGCAAAGATCCTGCCTCCACACCCCACCCCCAAAGTCCTTTCCGACTTTTGATGTCTCCTCTGAGGAGGTGGCTGCTTAGGCGGCCCACAAGGCAACTGCACGTGGGGTCACGGGCAACAGTGCTGGCGTGGGAGCCAGTCTCCTTACTGAGACCCCCTAACGTGACTGTGATCTGGGATGGGGTCTGGACAGCATCCTGGATGCAGCAGCGATCCTGGGCAAACCAATAATGCTTAGAGCTCAGACTTGCCCCACTGCACCTCGGCCTTCATGCGAGCAGGGGCTGCCGAGGGCCGACCCCCCAGCCTGGCTGCTTCGGGCCTGCCTGACGAGGGAGAGGATGCGCAGCCACTCCATCGAAATGGAGGTTCTGGCTCAGGGGAGGACGCCAAGCCACCCCGCGGACCTGGCTCAGAGCCCGAGGGCGGAGAAGGTAAGGACTAAGCGAGCGGGACCACACCTTCGTAGGCCATGCAGTCTCTTGGGCAGGGCTCTAGGACTTGGCTGGAATCCCATAGGGTCCGTGGCCAATAACCCAACATAAAGCCAGGGTTCATAGTAGGTGTGCTGTGGTCTCCCCCATGTAAGGTCCCATTCTTGTTTTTGCCGCTTCCTACCACCCATCCCCTAATGCACGCACCTCCCAGAACCTCTCCTGTAACCCACGTGGCCAACTTCACCAAGCTTCTTCCTCTCTCTCTTTTCCATGTCTTTCAACTTTTTTTTTTTTTAAATGTCCAGCTCCTTTCCAGTATCATTCTTTGCTTTTCAAGGTCACAATTACCTGTTTGGATAAATCAGATTCATGCTAATATGTTAAGGGTGTGAATAAATTCCATTTAATCCATTTTATTTTATTTCAATTCAGCAAACATTTATGGAGCAATATCGTGTACTGAGCCCTAGAAAAAACTCAAACTTAAACAAAATATAGTCTCTTAAGATTTTATACAACTAGCACAGATTTCCCTCAAAGGAAATGGTATTAGGAGGAGATTTTTTTTAATTGTAGTAATAGTAAATATTTGTGTAAATGTGCATTAGGAATCTCACAAGAACATCAAACCCATGATTTCATAATTACTATTGTTTAGAATGAGGCTAAAGAAGGTAGTATGCAAAATAAACAAGTCTATTTAAAGAAACATATTAAGTAAATAACAGAGAAATGACAAAAATTTACACAGGTGATGATGGACTCGTGGCTAATTTTTGAAGTAGGAGCTCAGTAAGAGAGGAAGATTTGTAGACAAAAGACTCATCCTAATGAGACAGGGATGTGGCAAGGAAGGCCTCATGGAGGAAGTGGCATTAGAGATGGGTCTTCAAGGATGACTAGGAGTTTTCCTAAGGCTGTGAAGTAGAGGCCACCCCACATGGAGGAAATAACACAAGCCAAGACACACAAGTGATTGAGGTACACAGGGTCGAAAGAGCAGAAATGGGATTGTAGGGAAGTTGAGGTTGGAAGTGGATCATGAGGGGTTAAGAATTGGGTTTTTTCTTTTTGCCTTTGTGACCCATGCAGCTAATATATCAAAAGGAACTTTCCTCGGGACAGGATCTTCATAGTGTGGGTGAGATCAATTAATGGGTCAGGGGAGTAATTTATGGGATTATAACTGGGATCTAAAAAAGAGAGAGACAGGAGTTAATACCAGAGGGCATCTTCCAGAACAAGCACAGGTAGTGTATTGTGGCACCTTTGTTTTCCAAGTGTGCATTGAGTCATGATGGAAAACGGGTGGCAGTTCTAAAAGTCTGAAACTAGTGGTTCCCGTGTAGGTTTGACTCCCACCTTCACATTACCCATCAGACTCTTATTCAGTCTCCCATGATGAAAGGAAGTTTTGGTCACTGTCAGAGGATGGCAGAGCTGTGTGGGGTGTTTTGTGGTTAAGGGTGAGCTGGTTTTAGAGGGGAGGGATGGGTAGAGGGAGAGGGAATTTTAAGCAGGCTCTGCGCTGGGTGTGGGGCTCCATGACCTGAGCCAAATTCAAGAATCGGACACTCAACCGACTGAGCCACCCAGACGTCCCAAGGGTGAGTTTTTAACCAATTGTGGCCAGCCTGGGTTTTGATCCTTTGCTAATTGGGTTAACCAGTTTGGACACTTCAGTGACACTGGCCACGTTGTTTGTGACTGGGCTATGTTTGGCAGGGGACCTCTGAGGCCTGAGGCTCCTGTCACCAGCTTGGAATAGTGACAGGATCTGAAGCTCCTGGCATGAGGTGTGTGTGGGATGGTGCAGAATCGAGGCTATGCAGGAGGGTGTGGGTTGAAGTCACTTCAAAGTGAAAAGGCTGGCCCAAGTGGCACAGATTTAAATCAGCTGTGGGAAAACAGGCACACAGCAGCTATTTTTAGTTTGTGTTAGAAACTGTAAGAGCCAGAGTGGTTCATAGAGTAGAATACCGGCTTTGGATATAGGAGATGAAGATTTTTTCAGCTCCACCACAAACTTCTGTGCTAAAGGCCATGGAAAAGAGTGGAGGGAAGATGGTAGGCAGCCGGGCCGTCCCAGTGTGGACTAGTTCAAGTTTATCATCCCTGTCTCCCCCAGACTCGTTTCATCCTAGAGGGCTCCGGCCTTGTTCCTGTGCCATTCTGGGTCCACTGCTTCATATAATACTCATCCCTCTCTCAAGGCCTGCTCTTGGGGAAAGACCTAGAAGTTTCTTTCTTATTTGGGTGGAAAAGACTAATAATAGCTTAAGTTTACCTTTGCAGAAGTGCTTGTACTTCAGTGAGGCTGAGTAACTTAATGTGGCAAAGAAAGCTCTAGCTGGACTCCAACGTTGGTGAGTAGAGCATCTGCCAGGGTGGTGGGGCCCTTCTCGGCACAGTTACAGCACAGTATGTAGGTAGCTGCTTATTCCACCAATGCATGCACTCAGATGTGGTCAACACTACTTAGGACCTGGTTTTTAAGGCTGGAAAGAACCTGATCAGATGTCCTTCCTTTATACATAAAGAAACCAAGACTCAGAGGAATGAGGTTAGTTAGGTTCAACTGAATAGGTGTTTTTTGAGCATTTACTCTGTGCCAAACACCATGCGTAATGCAGGGAAGCAATGATGGATAAGATACAGTACCTACCCTTCATCTTTCCAACATCCCGTGTCCATCTGCACAGACTCAGAGTGGGATCATTGCAACTGCAGGCTGCTCTGTCACTGACAGTGGGCAGACAGGGCACCAGGATGGGCCACGTTGGAAAAGAAGCTTTCATTTGATGGAGCTGTGTGTGAATAGTGACTCATAATTGCTTTCCATGGAGTCTAGAAGTGGAGCCCGGGGAACAGTAATTGTCCTGTCCCTGAAATCTTGGGAGATATGGTAAAATCCAGCAGGCAGGGATTAAAAATGCAAACCGGGGAATTGTGTAGCTGTAAGCTTCTCTCAATTCAACTGAATTCAGCAAACGTTTGTTGAATGTTTGTGCCTATCACTGAGAAGGGTATGAGAACACAAAAATGAATGAGGCTTATTTGCTAACATGAGAAATTCTGGGGCACAGAAGGCTGAGGTTTTTCAGACTGCAGGTCCTGGCCTGCTGGTGGGTCATGAAATCAGTTTAGCAGATGATAAGCACAATTTAGGGGGGTGGGGAAGGGAAATAGAATAGAATAAGAAGTAGAATACATCACCTATATTAAAGGTAGGGGAACCTGGGTGGGTCAGTCAGTTAAGCATCTGCCTTTGGCTCAGGTCATGATCCTGGGGTCCTGGGATCGAGCCCTGCATCAGGGTCCGCACTCAGCTGGGAGCCTGCTTCTCCCTCTGCCCCTCCCCCTTTTCGTGCCCTCTCTCGCTCTCTGTCTCTCAAATAAAAAAAACAAAATCTTAAAAGGTAAATAGTGTTTCACAAAGTCATGACTTTCAAACTTTCTTTGATATCACAATCCTCAGTGAGAATCTGTTAAACATACCTATATACATACATGCTATAAATCATATATGTGTATATATATATATACACTCACAATGTTTTGTGAAATTTTATATATATATATAATTTATAGCCTGCATGTATATATATATATGTTTAACAGATTCTCACTGAGGATTGTGATACCAAAGAAGGTTTAAAAGTCTGATGTACAGTATCTAACATTGGAAGGGCTGATATTTCAGGCATACGTGCCCGTGGTAGAACCCCAACCAATACATTAGTGACAGTATATCAGTTATCTGTTGCCATAGTGACACTGCATAGCAAACAACACAAAACCTCAGTGGCATCCAACACCAAGCATTGGTTTCTCACATGCTTACAGAGTCAGCTACACAGCTCTGTTCAGCATCTGGCTACCTCACATGTCTGGAAACCAGTAGGTTATCAGCTGATCTAAGATCTGAGTGGCTGGGATAACTGGGGCAATTTGAGATGAATGTCTCTCATCTTCTAACAGACTAGACTTAGCGTGTCCTCATGTTGATGGCATGAGCAAAAGGACTTGTGCAAACACTTTTTAAGCCACTGTTTGCATCACGTTTTCTAATTTTCCATTGACCAAAGCAAGTCACCCAGCCAAACCCAGGGACAAGATGGGGGAAGGCATGGTAACTTGGCAAAGAACATGGGCCATTTTTAGAGTTTGCCACAACAAATGAGCAATGAAGTTGGATTTGCTTTGATTGATTCTCTCCCCAGACTATTGGTCTTCTCTTCTCTGATCTTGGTTCTCAACATCCAGTGCCTAGAACTCCTGAGGGTATGGCAGGAGCCTCTCTTCCCTTTGCAGACTAACAGGTAGAAGAGTTACAGGTAGGCAAGGAAGTGCCCTCAGGAGACAGACTAAAAGGGGACATGGGATGTGAGTTAGGGACCTGGCATCTCCTGGTGAGGCAGGGCTGGAGTGAAGGAGAGATGGTATGAGGAAAGCTCCAGGAGGGCCCTGATGACAACTGGAAACATCCTTGTCCTTCTAACTCTGCACTTGGTTCAAGGAGAAACTTCCAATCAACTTGGTCCAGCACTGGAAAGGGTTATCCCATGTGTGTTGTAGAAGGAAACCAGACTTCCGGTCTTGATACTGATGTGATCTTAGGTGAGTTACTTATCTTCTCTGGTCCTCAGTTTCCCCACTATAAAGGAAGGGGGATGACTATATGGGTTCTAAGATCCCTTTCAGCTCTCCTTCTCTGTCCCTTTCTGTGGTTGGCTTGCTTTTGGTACAGATGTGTTGCTTCAGTTCTCACTCTTCCCTCCAGTGCTCATGGCAGACAGAGTGAATCCATCCTGGCTTTTCCCTGCAAAGAGTGAATATTGCCTCAGAATTCTCCTCAACATAGTACTTGACCACTACTATTGATCAGAATACACAGGCAAGGTCAGCTTTGTCATACTTATTTGGTAAGACTGGAGGAAGCATTTCTTTCTCTGTTTCTCTGTCTCTCTCTCTCTTTAAACTACTAGGAGGCCATG